GGAGGGGGGCAGGATGGACGGTTCGTCGCGTGAGTGCGTGCCGAAGCTGGGGGGAGAAGCCCGCCGGCCAGTGTCAGGGCGGCATCGCCCCACAGCTCAGAGCCCAACACAGGGTGTGTTTTGGCAAGACCCCCGGTCTCCCCCCCACCCCTTTGCCAGGATTGCTTCCCCTCCGTCCCGCTTTACCCGCGACCGTTGTCTAGGTGGAGCAGGAAAGTGTCGTTCCCAAATTTCTCGAAGGTTTCGTAGTGATGCCGGTCCATGTTGCCTGTGGTGGGGCAACAGATTTGCCATCGGGTGGTGGGCCAGGAGGCGGGAGCAGGGACATGGAGCACCCTCCTGGGGTGAGACCGAAACCCAGAGGCTGGGGAAAAGGGCTGGGGCACTCTAAGGTGCCCATCTGGTGGCCACGGCCATGGGGGGGGACCTGAGCAGAGCCCCTGGGGCCTCCAGGTCCCATCTCATCCCGGCAGCCCCGTGGAGGGATGACAGCGGCAAATGGAGCAGAAGTAATGGCAAAGGCACGGCTGGGCAGCCAGGGACGAGGAGACGGGAAGCTCTCCAAGTCAGATGATGGCAGGGGGACAGCGCGGGGAGGAAGGGGGGGCCCCGGGGTCGGGCGAGGCAGTGTGGCCCAGGGGAGCATTGCTTCCGGGAGGCGCTTCCCAACCCCAGGGTGTTCAACTGGGATCTCCCCGGCATCTCTCATCCTTCATCATCTGCCTGGGATGTGTCCTAATGGCACGGCCCTTCTCTCTTGTTTTGGGTAAGAGCACAGCTCTCTGCAGCCTGAGCAATGGTTTGGCCAACAAACCTTGCAGGGCGCGGTGCTGCGGGACACGGAGCCGTTTGGGCTCCTGCAGCCCCCAGCGCCGGCACGGCAAGGCTCACCCATAAGGAAATCGAGGACCGTCATGTCGATGAGGTCGAGGAGGCGATGGCCCCTGTCGTAGGGCGGCGTCTCTCGCACCTGAGCGCAGTAGTTGGGGTTCAGCTCCCACCTGCGGGCAGAGGCCGGGGCAGGGGACGGGGCCGTGAGAGTGGCCGTGGGATGGCCCCCTCCCGTCCCCCTGCTCTGCTGCCCCATGTCCTCCCTCCCCCTGCCCCGGCTCACTCAGCCTTCTTGCTCTTGTGGTAGGAGCGGCGCCAGGGGCTGCGCCAGGAGGAGCGGCGGGCCAAGGTCTTGTCGGGCAGCAGGGCGGCCATGGAGCTCTCCAGCCGGTCCGGCTTGCCGCAGAGGGCGTGCTCGGTGGAGCAGTAGTAGGAGCACTCCCCGTAGAAGCAGATGTTGCCCGCTGGTCATGGGGACAAAGCAAAGGTTGATGAAGAGCAGGAAGGCAACGAGCCTGCTACCCCCACACAGGGTGGTCCGGCAGGTGGCCAGGTGAGGGTGCTCAATGCACCGTGGCCACGTGCCACCAGCAAAGCAGTGGCAAGGAAGGCCTTGAGGAGCAGAGCCCCACAGCGGGAGACCCGGTGGGAGCTAGAGCAGTCCCCAAGGGGATGGTTTGCCCTGGTGTAGGGGGAGCCAGGGCAGGAGCAGCTGGCTCCAGGTGACCTCCATGTGGGTGGCCGCAGGAAAGACTGGATGGCATGAAAGCTCACCTGGGGAGATGAAGAAAGTCTTGGCCAGTTTCTTGTCTGTGGTGATGTCACGAATCTCCTTCGTTATATTGACCAAACGGCCAGAAACTGGGGGGATTCGCCGGAAATCCAGTATCCTGAAACACAGAACTTGGAACCATTTCTTGCTGGCCCTGGGTAGTTTTCATAGCGAGTTATTAAAACTGCCATGAGACACAGGTACCTGTTGCAACGGGGGGAGGAAGAGGTGGGATGAAGGAGCAGTTTCTCTGCCGCTTTGCCGTCACAGGAGAGCAGAGCTGGATGCACAGCCTGCACTCACCTGTCCAGGTGGAAGGCTGCAATCTCCGCGTTGTGCCGCTCAAAATCTGAGAAGTAGAAGAAGTCGATGGGGGTCTCCTGGTCCCGGGTCTGTCTGCAAGGAGAGGGGAGGCTGGGGGCGATGCCATGGCCACCCCGAGTGTGGGTTTGGCTCCAAATCACTCCTCACCTTGTATCCCCGATGCCACTGGAGACACAGACAGACCCAGTCTCCTCCAGTTGCTCCCTGCTGGGTGGTGCAGCCCCAAATCCCCCACCCAGGGCCCCACGCACCCCCTGCTCCCAACCCAAGGGCTGGGAAGCCCTCATGGACTGGAAGGTCACAGAATCACAGAGTCACAGAATGGCAAGGGTTGGAAGGGACCTCGGGAGATCATCTAGCCCAACCTCCCTGCTAAAGCAGGTTCTCCTAGAGCATGTTACACAGGACTTCATCCAGGCGGGCTTTGAATATCTCCAGAGAAGGAGACTCCACAACCCCCTTGGGCAGCCTGTTCCAGTGCTCTGTCACCCTCAGAGTAAAGAAATTTTTCCTCATATTCAACTGAAACCTCTTATGTCTCAGTTGGTACCCATTGACCCTTGTCCTGTTGCTGGGCACCACTGGGAAGAGTCTGGCTCTGTCCTTGTGACTTCTACCCTTAAGATATTTGTATGTATTGATGAGGTCCCCTCTCAGTCTTCTCTTCTTCAGGCTGAACAAGCCCAACTCTCTCAGCCTTTCCTCGTAGGGGAGATGCTCCAGTCCCTTTATCATCCTAGTTGCTCTCCTCTGGACTCTTTCTAGGAGTTCCTCATCTTTCTTGAACTGGGGAGCCCAGAACTGGACACAGTACTCCA